AATTTTAATTATGTTAAGTTGCTATGTTTGTGTTTGTGTTGTAGTATTAAACTAAATTAGTTGTACTGAACTTTATTTTCATTAATTGTAATGGAAGTTTAGTTATAATGCTTGTGTTTGTGTTGTAGCAGGAAACTAACTAATGAACGGAGAAATAAAAAAGTAATGCGCATATTATATAAAAATTGTTGTTAATGTATATACAAAAATATTATTTACATCAAATACAAAAAAAAGGAAAGAAAATCAATGTGTCCAGGCCGCTGGCTTGAGGTGCATCCCATCCCGCCTGGGTACGCTAACGGGATCGTCATCATCAAGTTGCCTCCTTATAGCCGGATGCGCCGCAAAATGATCATCAGTGGTATTGACAGGATCGGTAGAAGGGGTCGTCAGTCTAGTAGAAACCTACAATAGAATAGAAAGCTCAGCATAGCAAAGTATACAATAAGTCACAACAATTTAAATTGTCTTGCCACGATCTCGTCGGGCTCCTAAATGTAATCATCTATCGCAGCCATGTCAGCATTGCACAAAGCCTTAAAAAGGAAATAAATAAAGTTATGGAAAATAAATGAGAAGAATAAAAACAAATTGTAATTCAATACTAAGAAAACCATACCCGCGCCTGTGATGATGAACCATAACTCAGTCGGTGCCCACTATGTAAATCTCGGGTCGGCCGATCCTCAGCAACAGTAGACGGGCCTGGAAAGTATGTATCCCAATCCACTCTAGAAAGGACCGTGCCCATGATCAATAATTGACCTAACGGAGTCACCTGCAAAGTCCCTGGAGTGAGATGCATCCCAAGGCTGTATGACGGCATGTCCATCTCATGTAGGCCACCCGACAGATCAGCAGCAACATCATCAGCAAGGGCCTCAACGCCCCCTTGGTGGGGACCACCTCCTCTCCGCCCACCACCACGTCGTCCGGCAGCCCGCCTCGTCGGGCACCACCAACTCATGCGACACCAGGGCCTTGCTTGTCTGCCCTGGCTCCACAAAATCAGGCTTGTGTGCCAAACGCTGATCCTCTCGGGCTTGCTGCAGTGTCCGGGTAGCCACCTCTACAAATCAACGGCCGAAATTCTGCAAGGCGGCCGCAGGATCGCCGACATGATCCTGCATCTGAAGTCCCATCTGATAGACTTTATGTAGTCCAATAGCCTGCACAACATATAAAATATAAACTACATATATTGTACTAAGTTACAGTTATATAATTAATAATAACAGAAAACATACCAGGGCCTCGTGTCGCCCGGCGTATGGAATGTACCGACTGCCACCCTGATGAATAGGGTTCCCGATAAAAAGTCGGGTAACGTGGCGGTACCAGGTCATATACCTCTGAATAGCCACCGCCTGGATCTGTGTAAGTGGGGGCGGAATCATCCGATCTCGCAGGTCCCAAGTATGGATCTGCGCCGCTACCCATGCTATAAATGTGTCGTCCGCTCTGGAACGATCATCCCTCTGATAATGTGTAGGCTCCCATATAGTCCCCCTCGGTATATACTGCGGGCGGCCAAACTGGCGAAGTACCCGCTCCGAGGCATGATGCACCACAATATCGAGGCATATGAGCGGGGCAGAAGTGCTCTAAATCAGTCGGTCGGCCGAGCAACAATCTGGCAGTCCACCTATCAAATTGTCGCTGTATGGCGTCCAAATGAACTATCAAATAAGAACACAAAACGTGAGTATGCGTAACACTAAGTTAATCTATACCAGGTAAGTTTAGGTACATATTTACCTATGCGCCCTCTAGCAGATCCAACACATCCCTGCAGAGGGGGAGATTATGATGAGCATCATACTCTCGTGCAAGTGTACGACGGAGAACCCACCTCCTGGCTAGAGGGAGAAACGGAGGTGCTACGTTAGGAGGTAATTGTGGTAGAGGTGGCTGAAACTGCAAGAACCACTCCCAGGCCCAAACCTAACATACAAAGTTGATGTAAGGTTTAAGATAAATTCTAACTAGGTAGAATTGGAACTAATGAACAGATTATTCGAATATGTTGTCACCTGTAGAAGCGACAGAAAACCATAAACATCACTCTGGGTTCCCATGCTCGCCTGGCACATCTGCCTGTACATGTAGGCGAGAACAGCAGCACCCCAGCTGTAATAGGGTAACTCATCTAGAAGCTGAATATGATGAAGAAATCTCAGGCTAACTAGGTTCCCCGAAGTGTTCGGGAACAAGACCCCCCCAAATAGAAGAAGCAACAACAACCTCGTATACCGGGTAATATGTAGCTCCTCTGCATCGACGGCGATCTCGGGGTAGAGTACTTCCAAGTACTGTCTAATAGGGGTCAAACTCATCCGACTGGCTCCCGACGATGTAGTCTCGTCCTGTGGCCTAAAACCCGTGAGCAGCTGCAGCATGTCCAAATAATCCACACACGACACAGATTCATAGCAATAGGCAGTGAAACGGCCATGCCATCAACGAGCAGGCCATATAAAAGCTCCATGTCCTGCAACGTGATGGTGGCCTCGCCAATGGTCAGGTGGAAAGTGTGTGTCTCCGGTCGCCACTGCTCAATCAACGCCGTGATTAAAGCCCATTCGAGTTGCATCCGCCCGATCTGAATAATCCTATAGAATCCCGTATCCTGCAGGCGCTGGACTACACGAGGATGGAGATCTCTATCCCTCAAAAAATCCCACAGGTCGTCCACTCTCCTAGCGCAGAGAGTCTGGGACAGTAACTCTCCGTCCCATATATGGGCGGACCTATGATCACCCTGTAGCACTAATAGCTCAGGAGCGTAAGGCCCGGGATGTATAGGCGGCACGTCCATGTCGTCAACTGTAAATTACACAACATTAATTGTATGTTTAATCTGTAAATTAAATAATTAATTTTTTTAGTTATACAATTTTTAGAGTTATACATTATTTAAATGGACAGGGTATATATCTATTGGGTTCCAGGCTCGATATTTGAGGCCTAGTAGCACCAAACTATCATGAATAATTATGTGTGTCAATTTCAATTGTCTTACCATTTAGTGTTTGTTTTATAATTAAATTATTAATTTTTAATTATTTAATTGTACGAAGTATATATACCTATGGTTCCAGGCTCGATATTTGAGGCCTAGTAGCACCAAACTATCATTAATAATTATGTGTGTCAAATTCAATATTTTTATAATTTTGTGTGTTTGTTTTATAATTTAAATTCTTAATTTTTAATTATTTAATTTTACAAAGTATATATACCTATGGGTTTCAGGCTCGATATTTGAGTCTCAGTAGCACCAAACTATCATGAATAATTATGTGTGTCAAATTCAATATTTTTATAATTTTGTGTGTTTGTTTTATAATTTAAATTTTTAATTTTTAATTATATAATTGTACAAAGTTTGTATTTTCATCTACCAGTATAAGAGATACTGAAACTACAGGGATTCTACGCTAAAATACTCTACACTTTACTACGCTAAAAGGCTTTACAATTTACTATGCTAAAATGTTCTACATTTTACTACGCTAATAAATAATCTAAGCTAAATATAAACAACAAATACATTTTAATCACATAACATTCACAAAAATACATATAACATACTAGTTTCGCAAATAAAACACAAAACGACATGGAAACACTAATATCTAAATCCGGATATTAACAGAAAAAATTATTTCTCAATTTTTACATTTTTTAGAACACTAATATCTAAGTCCGGATAAATATAACATACTATTTCGCAAATAAAATACAAAACGACATGGAAACACATTCAAATAAACTAATATGCATTATTATACAAGTTTCGACATAAAATAAATCGAAATACCTCGATTTAGTGTTTTCGAGAAGTAAATTGGTTGAAAATTAATTTGAGTCCGAAAGAGTGAAACCACAATAATACGATGCTCTACGACGACGTGGGACCTATGTTCTTAGCATTTTGTGTGACTCCACAACTTTTTTTAAGAGACGACAGG